AGGACAGGTCAGACTACAGATATTTTTACTGAATGCAGAGCTCATCCCAGCCCCATCTGACCATTCCAGAATGTTGCAGAAGCCAGGGGCCGCCTGCCTTGCCTTCTCCCGAGCATCTATCCACACCTCGCCCCTTCGCTCACTCATCCCTTGTCTACGAGTTCACAAATTGTTCCTGCCAGTTTAAGCAAAAAATGTTCTGTGAGGTAAAAGGGCCATGGTAATTAATTTTGCTCCCTTGACTGGAAGGTGAAAAGCTTTTTATTATGTAAATTATAAATGTCCTGGAGGGAAACTTATCTCCCTTTCACCAATGAGCCCATCAGGCTGCCGACATCAGGATTTTTTTTTTAATGTTTATTAGTCTAGGGGGGCTGTTTAGGAGGTTTCGTAGCTTCTAAGTGCTGACATTTATCTATTGCTTCAAATAAACCTAGTGGCAGGGAGCCATGGATGGACCACTAAATACGGAGGAGGGGAGGCGGTCTGACCGTCCACAGACAGGCAGAGAGCAATGAGGAGCTCCCGAGCGAGCCCAGAGCAGTGTGGGACTCGCCATTCTCCAGGCTGAGCCCCAGGCTCTCCCATTCAGTTTTCTCCCCTGTCCTACTCTTCGGTGATTCTTTCTCCCCTACCTCCTCTCAGCCTCTCCCACAACACACTGGATATCTCCACACCACCAACCTGCCCTGGAGCTGAAGGGCTTCCCCCTCCCTCCACCCCCTCCAGCTTCCCCGGCCACGATTCTTTGTTTGGGACCATGCTTTGTTATAATGGAATACACGCTGGAAACTGGAACTCTTTCTTCCCGCAGAGGGATGAGTGTTTATACACAGTGATGCTTGGCTGGGCCATGATGCTCAGATACATGGCCAGCAGACCTCTCTCCATGTTTCTGTGAGGATGGATTTTGGATGAGATTTATTTACATTGAAGTCAATGGACTTTGAGTGAAGCAGAGTGTCCTCTCTAAGGAGAGAGGCCTCATCCAAAGCCAAGCCTGAGTAGGGCAAGAGACTGACATGATCTCAATCTCTCTCTCTCTCTCTCTCTCTCTCTCTCTCTCTCTCTCTCTCTCTCTCTC